TATGAAATCGTTTAAATTAATAATAAATACCAGTTGATGTCATGTGATGATGTCAATTAACATTTCATGTGGTAGAAAAGGGACAAAATAAAATTCTTTTAAAGTTTAAATATCAAGAAAGAAAATATCTTAAAATTTATATACATTATAAAATATTAAATTTAAAATTATATTTTTATATTTTTGTTGTAATATAATATTTTTAGTTAGATTTTTAGTTTTAATAGAAAATAGATTTTAAAAATTAAAATTAAGTTAAAAACTTCAAAAAAAAAATTTTCAAACAATTCATTATTATTTTAAAACAGAAAAATATTTTTGTTAAAAATATTATTTTATGCATAAATCATAACAAAAAAATATTATTTTTATCCCAAAAAATGTATTTTTTAGATATTAAATATCTTTTATTTTTCATTTTTCAAATATATTTTATAAAAAAGAAAAAATAAAATATTTTAAATTATATATTTTATTTTGTATGAATATAATTTTTTAACAAAAAAATAGATTCAAAATAGATTTTTTTATAGAAAATAAATTTTTGAATAGATTAATAAATCTATTTTTTAAAATTGATATGAAAATTTTTATATAAGCTTTTAAAATGATATAGAGTTTTTGTTTAATTTTTTAGGCGGATTTAGAAATTTTTACTTAATTTTTTAAAGTGATATGAAATTTTAAAAAATTATTTTGAAAATTTAAACTTAATTTTAATTTTTTAAAAATCTATTTTCTATTGAAAATATTATTTTATTGATAAATCAGATCATAATAAAAAATAAAAATATTTTAAATTATAATATTTTATAAAATATTTTTGAAATATATAACAATCAATTTTTTGCTTTAATTATTTTCCTTTGTTTCTTTTTTGTAAAACATATTTTATAAAATATATATCAAAAAGGAAAATACAAGATACTTAATATTTTAAAAATAGATTTATATAGAAAATAATTTTTTATTATGATTTATGAGTAAAGAATATTTTTAGTAGAAAATGTTGTTTATTTTTAAAATGATATTGAAATTTTTAAGAAAGGAATTTGAAAAATCTAACTTAATTTTAATTTTTGAAAATCTATTTTCTATTAAAAACAAAAAACTAACTAATAAATTATAGTACAATAAAATTATCAAAATATAATTTTAAAACTAATATTTTATAATATATATAATATATAAAATTTGAGATATTTCATCATTGATTTTAAACTTTAAGAAAATTTTGTTTTGTTCCCTTTTTTGCCATGTGAGATACTGACAATTTCATCACATGACAATTGGTTAATATTCATCATCAATTTAAATGGTTTTATAAACAGAAAGACTAAAATAAGATAATTTTAGACAATTGAGAATCTAGTTAGAACTTGGATCAAAGTTTAAAAATTAAGAATGCTATTCACTATTATTATTATTATTATTATTATTATTATTATTATTATTATTATTGGAATGATCAAACTTTGGAAAATGAACTACATTTGTTGAATTTAAATGTTATATGAAAACCTTAAAAATCAAAATCTATCAAGAAACACATAATTGGCAAATTGCTTCTTAATAATAATTAAACAAAATATGGTTTATTTTTATTAATTGGAAGCAAAAATTAGGAAAATTAGATGGAATATTTTTTGGTAGCAAATTAGGATGCATATCCCTGTTATTCCTTATCACAAAGAAAAGCAAGCTCCTTTTTTTCTTTCTCTTTCTTTAGTCCTTATGAATGAGATTTCTCAATTATACATTTGGTTGGATGCAGGCCAATTGATTTTCTCACAGTAAATTAGGAATTAAATACATAAGAATTAAAAATGATATAGATTGCATCAATTCTTAGTGCGGGGTAAATTGATTTTGTTAAAGAAATTAATAGGAATTAGGAATTAAATTATAGTTGATTTTACATAATAATCTTTTTATTTTCTTTAAATTACATAATAATAGCAAACCAAAATTATAGATATGATTAGCTGCATAATTTGTTTATTTATGTTTTATTTTCTTTTTGAGTTGCCTTTCTCTTATGAAAGAAAAATAAATTTCTGAGTTATTTTTATAGAGACTTACATCTAACTTGTAAGTCGTTATCCGTTAAATCCAAAAATCTCATAATTTTATTACATAAAAAATATTTTATAAGTATGAGTTTAAATCTCTACATCTATATATCATATCATAGCCTCACATTCTTTTAATGTGAAATTAGAAACATCATAATCTCCTCTATTAAATCTTGACGTTTCCATCAAGTCCAACATCAAATAATAACAAAGATCACACTAAATGTTGAGATTTTAGAGACGATTTTCTCTATATAGCACTTAATTCTCATTTACTAGGATTCTAGAAGTGATTTTCATAGTGTAATACTTAGTTCTCGAATTTTTTATTAGTAATCAATCTGATACTATTTATGAAAATATGTATCTAACAAATTTTATCTTATAAAAAACATATTACAAATATATATTTAAATCTTTACATATATATCATATCATATCTTTACATAACATTCTTTCAATGAGTTTAGTTTGCAAAAACTCTTATTCATCTTTTTGAAATTGTGAGTTCTAAGGGAAATGAAACTTTCTAGTGATGTGGTAAAAAATTGGACAGAATCTTTAAGGATTTGATTTAAAATTGTAAAAGTTATACCTTATGCTTGAATTGTATTCGTAAGATTGAAGATTTTGTGGAATTTATTCCTTGACAAGGAAAGGTAAGGGAAAAGATTTAATTTACCTTGGGAATAAGGATAAAATATCTATAAATTTTAGTGTTTGATCTCTCTTTTTACTTCTTTTTATATTGAAGTTTCGATCTTTGGTTTAAGTGCATTAATTATTGGTTATTTCATTAAATCTTCATCAAAGGTTATATTGTTTGAAAGAAGGTTTAGAATTTCCTATAAACCATTTCACCATCCTTTCAGTTTAATCTAATATTTTGAGCTAACAGATCCAATTTATATGAGATTTATTCAACTATATGGTAATTCATTGGTTGGTTGGCTTATTTATTTAATTAATTAATTTCTTAATATAATATTTAAATGTGGTTGTACTTTCCCTTGTATTTCATTCTATATAATTCAAGTGGAAGTTCAGTGCTAACAAATCAAGAGTTGAATCCAATATATGAAATATTTTAAGATAATTCGATATTTCTATCATATTGTCTGAAAATATTATTTTTTTAAAATTTAACTACTAAAATTTATTGTTATTAAACATACAGTTACACATTTTCTATTAACTTAAAATTTGACATGTACACAATTTATATAAATAAAGTATGAAATCTAATGATTCTATTAATTAAATATAAATCATATAAAAACTATAAAATAGTGTAAAATGCAATTAATTTACATTTTACAAAAATGTGGATGAATTTCTCAATAGATAAAACCATTTATCAAATTGATATTATGCATTCTCGCCAAAAAAATTAAAATTCCACATTAGGCTTAATAAAATAGAGGAATTACAAAAAGAGAGGGTCTATTATAAATTTTTATTAATGTTATTATAGGAAGAAATTATTAACTTGGAAGGAAATGACAGGCTTTTAATTTGTAAAAAGGAAATGGATTTTACTATATTGACCCAAAGGCAGAGAAATTTTTTTCTCACATGTTCCTTTCCCTTTCTCTTTTTCATTCCTTACATAATAAAATTCCAAGAAAGGGAAGGAAATCAAGGAACAATATTTAAGTGATCTTTCTCTTTTCCCGCTTATTTCACTCAATCTCTCTCTCTTTTTTTTTTTTTTTTATGCAATTTGAGTAGGATTTATCAAAATTTTTGTTCTTTTGTTTAAAGATTCAAGGTCTATTTTTTTTGGATTCTAGGTATCAAATTATTTTGTGAAATTTATTTAAAATTTTAATTATTTCAAATTTGAAGCGAATTTCACACACCCTTTCATATTCACATCATTGAGTTTCGAGATTATTCTTTTTCTTATATGGTTTCATTTAGGATAATATTAAAATTTTTGAATTAGAATAATGCTTTTGGATTATTCTAAATTATTCTAATTCTCGCATACTATTTTATATAAATTGAGATATTATAATGTACGATTTTTTTTATTTTAATTTTATTTGCAATTCTGTTGTATCATTATGAAAATTATTGTAATTAAGTGTAGGGTTAATTGAGAAAGTATATAACTTATAATTATAGTAGTGCAATTAACTAATTAAAATTTAATATTATATGAGATTCATAAAAAATTTTTGTGAGACTCATATTTTAGTAGACTCTTACATAATTTTTTATTATAATCCATTAATTATTAAATTATAATGTAGATAATTATAGATGAAGTGCTCCATTAATTTTAGACACTAATCCTAAAATTTAATTTCAAATAATGATGGATAGCTAAAATCTGGCCTTTGTTCTAAATTTAAGAGACGAAGATTAATTGCATGGGAAGTTACTATCGTCCATAAATGCATGCTTGTGAACCACTTTGCTACGGAGTCTAGTTGTTCATGCATTGGTAACCATATTGCGAATATGATTTATTAAAATCTAGAATTTTAATAAATACATAAAAATAAAACAACAAATGTAGCACTTCCCTAACAATCTACTGTGGCATATATGTACATGTTACTAAAATTATATGTACATTGTACTTCTATTATATATAGATTTGTTAAACTTAAAAATATGATGTTTGTGAATATGGATTTGAACCTTGATTTCCCCTTTTTAAAAAAAAAAAAAATTTTGAAACTTGACTTTAGTGTAAATTATCAATATGGGATTTTTATCAATTAATACATAAAATAAAAGATGAATATTGCATTTGGTTAAAAAAAAAAGAGAAAAAAAATACATGAACACCAATTTTTTTCCCATTAATCATGCTTATTTCATGTTTCCAAAATATATACTTATACTTATTTCAGAATGCTTGTTATAGTTTTACTAAAGAAAAAAATATTACCATTTGTTGGCAGAAATTGATTGGATAAATGAAATTGGTTAAACACCACAAAGATGGTCTATCTCAAAGTTTGATAATACAACTGAAATTCAGTACTCTGTTCAATGGCCACAAACGAAATTAACTCATGAGCTACCATCACTTTCAGCTATAACTTGGAAACTTAAAGCAATACCTATTTTGTGATTATCTCTTTGTGAGCTTTATATGAGAGAATCACATTCCAAACTAAAGCAATGAAATTTGCAGCAAGGACCTGAAATTGAAACAACCATGCAGTTAGACCAAATAAAAGAAATTAAGAAGCCAGAAAAGACAGGTTAGTTACACATTAGCTATATGTCTGGCGTTTAGTTCTTACTAGAAAGCAAATCTAGCAGATAGGTCAAGGCACCTAATGCCCATAGACAGGCATCCAAAGTTTTGGCAGATTAATCATGTTAATTTTGAGTTATAGACATGTCAAACCATAAAATCTCTGTTAAAGAGGTCATGCGCATTATGTTGCGAGTTCGATAACCCAGTCAAGTTTCCGCTAAGACAGTTCTGATAAAATGGCCAATCAACAAGTAAGCCTTTTCTTCCTCGCTTTGCAAATTTCAAATCATCCAGCCAGGGTTGAAAATGATAAATGACAATAGTATTCAATTATACTTGATTGAAAGTAGCAGCACCTGGAATTGCTGTGGGACAAACCGAAAGTTGAGAAATTGGAAAGGTATCCACAGCTGCCAATTTACAACAACAGCAGAAAACCACTCCTACAGGGTAAAGCCATCACAAACCAACATCAGAGAATGCATAAATATTTTAAGGTAATAGATGTGCCCAAGTGTATTAAGAGCACCTGTTGAAGTTTGGGTACAACTTGCGAAGGCCTTCCTTCTAGTGTTACCAACGTAGATAAGAAAACTCCAATAAAAGTCGGAGCAAAAAGAAACTGCAATATGTTTCCCTATTGTCAGTAGAAATACTTAAAGCAATGGAAGTAACAGAATGTTCTGAAGATGCAGTAAGAGAGACAGCTCACCTGATCCAGTAAAAGCCGCAAGAAAGCACCTGATGCTCCAGGCAATTTTACCAAGTTACTTAGAGATAAATACCTGCAAAGAACCAAGTGCCATGCATGAAAGAGGAAAAATAATCTCACAGGCAGAATCAAGTCATTTTAAATTACAATAATCATGATTCCATCATGAACTGTCCAGAAACATAATAAACACAGACCAACTTTGCAAATGATGGCCCAAAATGAAATCCCAATGACACAAGTTATTCATATTAGTAAAATTCTTCTGCAATACCTTTGATAGAAAGTCGAATGATTTGTTGGGCATGCATAAACAAACAATATAATTAAGAAACTATAAGCCCCACTAATAAAACAACAAAGCGCTAGAGATACACTAGCAAATTAAGTAGACATGAGAACAAAATAACTATAATCATATAACCAAATTTTAAACACATATAACATTGATAATGAAGTATTACCAGAAGTGCAATGTAGGGCCCACTAATACCAAACCCAACAAAGTAAACAGAAATGTCCTTTTCACGTCTAGAGATGGCACTTGATCAATTGCAAGCTGAAGCCAAAATTTTAATGCTAAGTCAAGTCAGGCCTAAATTGCATTAATAATAAAAGATATAGTAATCTATGAGTTAAATTAAGATTTATATCTCAAAAATAGCAAATTACAATTGCCTTAAAAATAGAAGATACAATAAAACAAGAAAAACCCAAATTAACAAACTTGACTTGAAACAAAACCCTTTAAAACAAGGAAAACCCAAAATAAGATCCTAGACTCAAAATATTTAATTTTCATCAAATCAGAAAATTATGAAAATAATGAAAATAACCTTAACACTTGAAACTCTAGGAAACAAAAACCAAAATGACCAACATAAATCTAGGACTCAAAAGAAACAAGCCTACTGAAGCTCCCAACACAGCTTCGAATAATTGGATATCCAAATTAAGGCTCAGGCATTAGAACCAGGCCTATGAGTTACGACATTTCCTAAACACCTTTGGGCGCTGCTCCCAGCATGCCCCATCATCCTTATTTCCTTACTCCTCTCCACCTTTAAAGCCCAGCATACTTCCATCTTATTGTGCATCATCCTTGCAAGTTTGCCATCGAGACAACACCACTGCTCAGGACTATCATCTTCCTTTCTGTTTTATCTTCTCTTTTTTTTCTTCTTGTTCTATCACATTGATTTCTTGCTTTTCTCTCTCTCTACAATCTTCCCAAGATACTTACCTTTCCTCTCTCAACCACAAGTAATTGTCATGCCATGAAGGCATTTTGTGGGTTTTTTGATGTGTCAAACACAAATTGCAAAATGTGTACAACATTGTTGTGACTCTTGATAACATAGATACACCTCAATGTCTAACAAAGTCCAAGCAACATAGCGAAAGGGCTCCCTGATTGCTTGGCAATAAAGAGATGAAGCATAAAAAATAAGTTAGTAAAGGCATCATATGCTTCATAAATGGATGCAAGATTTAAAAACAAAAAGCCAGATCTTAACCTGCCAGCTAGAATGCTTAAGGTCAAATACGTCCACAATAGCAGTGAATATGCTAGAATTTCAAGCCAATTGTTATGTTCTTAACGTTTAAAAAGAAACAAAACAGGAGAGAAATCGTTTTAAGTGGTTGCAGCCAACGATATTCAATGGGAGCTGAAACAAGAAAATGAGATGAAGAAAACAAAGGAGATAGAAAGCCCAACCCCTAGTGCAAATCAAGAAGAATTTATACAGCCAACATAAACTATCCTTGTGACATTATCATTCCAGAAGAATTCAATGACCCAAACAATATATCATGACATCCTTGCTGCCATCAATTGAGACAAGGAAGCACTCTCAACTGCTACATCTTCCTTCAAAGCTGAGAATAGAAGCGTTAACTCAAGAAGTACTACTACTTGTTCATTTCAAAACTTGAGGTTAAGTTTTTTCCAATAAGGAGAGTATGATGCTAACAACAAAATTTAAAGAAAAGTCAAGAATAGTTGCCTTTGTTTGACGTTCGACTAATTTAGGACAGTATTGAGCTGTTATAGATATTATTCTCATGTTTTTCTGCTTCTTTAGGAAATCTGAAACATCGTTGCTTTATTCACATTGAAATGTTAAGGGTGATCTGTTGAATTTCAAAGTATGCTAGAAATTACAAATTTTGAGTTTGTCTAGCTATTAAAATTTCTTACTTCACCATGCTCTTTATTTTTTATCTTTTTTTCATGCTCTTTATTGTCACTTCAGCAGTTGTTTTTGCAGAAATTCGTTTATAGATTCTTATATTGAAGTTCAGTAACACTAGTTAAATAAGCATGCAACTTCTTTCACTAGGTGGGTGTTTGGCCTGGCTTTTAAGGGGCTTCTGTAACAAAAAAGCCTAAGCAAGGCATTTGGAACCATTAAAATAACTTGGGCAGGAGGTTCAAAACTACTTTTAGACCATTAAAATTGAAGCCACTATTTTTAGCTTCTTTTAAAAGAGCTTTTGTGGGTAGAAGTTCAAGATTTCAATAAAAACCTTTTTCTTCTTGCTTTAGCCTTAAAAAATTCCTAAAATTACAAAAGCATCAAACCAAATAATCTTCATCCATTCATTTTTATTCTAGTTTTTCTTTTTCTTCATTAACACTGCTTGTCAATAATATGTTTATTACATAAATAACAGCTCTTACAATAGAAAAATAGAGAAGCAATCATTTTGTTGGATTAACTCGAAAACGAAAATAAAATTTAGAGAAATTAGGAGAGCAGATGGAAAACCAGAAAAAGGAGAAAATTAGACATAGTGCATTGTCATTCTAGATGTCACTTAGAAATTTACCTGGCAAATCAAATCGCCAATAAAAGTCAAAAGTGCAGATGTCACAGCTTTTGTCAACACAGGGTGTTTCTCTAGAAGAGCCAAATACCTGTAAAATAACTTCAGAAAATCAAATATTTGGGGGGGAAGGTGCATCACATAACTGAAAAATAACAAAATATAGACTTTGGCAACTTCAAGTAGAACTTTAGCATACTAGTCCCGCAAAAGGAACTTTTGTTTTTCTTTTTGGAACATGAGATGTCCTCCAATAAGGATCCATAACACCATAACAAACACACTGCTCAACTGGCATTCACAAGAAGTCAATGTTTAAGAAACCAAAGCAACTGCTTCATAAATGATAAAATATTAGAAACATTTCTACTATTTTTGTTCTCATGGTAGTTTGAAGCAATCAGCCTAAGCCTCCCAATGAACTTAAATATGAAGCTTAAACGTTTCTTGTGCTCTTGTTTATTCAATTTTATGCAACATTTTTAACAACTCAAATCTGACAGAGAATGTAAAATCTAATTGCTAAGTGTACTACACCTTATACGTAGGGCACTAGAGCCTTATCTGTGTGTGTATAACCCAATGATGATTTTCAACAATAAAAATTAGCACTATCATTCCAAAAATGTCCATAGAAAAATAGCAATTCTAAGAAAATGATTTCAAAAATATAAGAAAGTTTAATAATGTAATTTACTAATTTAATAAATCCTTTATCTTTTTAACTAACATTTTCCCCACAATCATCTATCCCATAATATCTCATTATAAAACTATTCTCAACCCTATAAACAAAAAATTACCATATTTTTTGTTTGTCAAACAAGTATATTTATCAAACAAATTTTTGATAGCCCATCAATAGGCAAAGTAGATAACTGTCATCCTAGGGGAGCCAATGATCCATGTGGTTGTTGCCTAGAGGTAGCAAAATCTTTCCCGACTGAAACGAGCACATGCACAAAGCCTTTTTTTCAGCCAAGCACAAAGCCTGAATGACCTACTCAACAATTGAAACATGAAGTGACACGAATTTTGTTGTCAGACTTGGTAGATCTATTTTTTAATAATAAAAGCTAGAGTCTTGCAAAATTCTTTTATCGTGCAATTGAGTATTCCCCCTCTTTGTTCTTCTTCTTCTCTTCTCTCTACTTCTAAAATGGTACTGAATACATTCACAACATAGGAACAGCAACAATAACCTACTTCGTTCTAGTTCTGCAGCGAAGTTTACATACATTCGTCATTACAATCAAGCTAGCCAAGATGTACATTGTGTTTTTCATCTACCATCGACCTTTACCACTTTAGTATCACTGGCATAGCATAACATCCTGAGGTTGAAAATAAACAGAAGGCAATTGGACATCATAATAATAGAGAAAAACTCAAAACACACCAAAGAATGCGGCCTTGTATCATTCACAGGCGATGAATGGGCAGGAGTCTTGTAAAAAGAAAGGCTTAATAAGGGCCTTTTCTGGAGACGTGGCAAACTGGAATGTGGCCGTGTATTATCATGCCTAAAGGCTCGTAAGAGGCGCCACAAACAGAGAACTCAGAGAAAGTTCTCATTCCAGTTCTTCCTTCTTGTTCCTAGGGCGGGTTGGGACAACTAAGATATTATCAGTGAGGGATAGGTAGCATTCAAAGCTGGCACAAGAGCCAACCACTACGGACACACCCAATGCGCTTCTTAAGGAATCAGCTTCAGACCGCTAGGCGGAGACTCTGGTGGCCTAAAAACCACCAGGGACATAAAAAAGGGCACATGAAAAGAGGGTTACCCTTGCTCGCACTAGATTCTCGAAACGAAAGCTATTAGACCGGGCTTCCCCTAGCTTTCTATTGGTTACGGAAAGGAACGATATATATTATGTTAAAGACTAGCTACTACTTGATCATAGCATTTTACCTTGTAGTACGTGAATTAGGCTAGGCCCTTGCTCGGAGTGGGGCAAGATCCGCAGCTTTTTTTAAACTGACTTCCTCCCTTTCGTAGTTCTAAGCTAGTCAATCAACTATATCCACTATTGAGATTAGCTTTCGCACTTCAGCGACGAGAAATTCCGTGTTCTTTGATTCATTCCGTGGAGACTGCTCCTTGAGCTGATTTACCATCATCTTCTCACTATACTTATGTACATGAAGCAACCTAATAATGAGCATTTTCATGACATTCACACAAAAGACTAATGTACCAAAACAACCTAATAGAGAGAATTTTATTGATGTCATTACAGTAGAGCTCCAAATAATAGTATCAACAAAATTGGAAGCAGTGAAAACTCGAAAACAGCAAAACGATATTTAAAATTAAAAAAGAAAGGCCTTAGTTCAATACCATGAAAGAAAGGACCAACCACTTCTTCCACCATTGCCATCAGCGCCTTCACCTTTGCCACCCGAATTCCCATCACCGGAGCCTCCAAGCCCACCAATCCCCCTGGACCCACCATTCGAAACTGCTGAAACCCGGAAATAATCAAAACCCAACTGCCCACCTCCCGTTTTGCGAGCACCCCATTCCTTAAACACAGCTCCATGACTAGAACTCAAAAAATATGAATGGGAACAGCCCTTAAAATCTCTTACGGGGAATATAGTTCGGTGGGCAGGAAGGCACAAGTTTTTGGAAGAAAAGCTCATGAAACGACACAAGTGGGGGAATCTGCGGGTAAGTGCCATGGAATTTGGGACCATTTTTGTCGCCGGCAATTCACAAACGACTTGAAAAACTTGAAAAATGGTTTATGGTTTATGTTTATAGCTGTGGTAATTGGGTTACTTACAGTGTTAAGTGTTACCGAAGTTGCGGCAAGGACAGGCAGGCTGCCCTAAGTGGCGATAAATGGGGTTAGCCTGCTTGCTCATTTTTTTAAAAAATTAAACTAGTCGAGTTACTCACTTTGACCCCGTAGAAGTTTTATGTTTTTCACCTTGCACCCTGTGACTTTTTCTTTTTCTTTTCCCCTTCCCTTTGAAAATAAAATTGATTAATTTGCAATAATTTGATTTTATAGAATTGAATCTAGATAAAATCACCAACAAGTGGTTAGTCTTATTAGTGGACATTTATTGGGATCATTTCAAATACATAATTTGTAGTTATTCATTTTAAATTGTTAGACACAATAAATCTTATCTTAATTTAAAAGATTAAGTAATTTATTTATCTTTAAATTTTTTCGTAAAAAAAAAAAAAGAATCAAGATAAAATCAAATAGATATTAAAATCAAACAGACCCGATCTGAATTTTATCAATTGTAGTTATTTTTATTTATGATAATTAAAATTGATTGTACGTTTCTTGTTGAATATCTGTCATTAAACTCTTAATTGAAAAAAAAAAGAAATGAAAACATAAAAAGTTATGAATATTGATATAAAAGATTAATCTTAAAGATGAGAAGAGAAACAAAAAAAATTAAAGTGCGGAAGTAAAAATTAACTAAGGACGAAAATAAACAAATATTGATTATTCCAAAGTGATTCACCATTGGAATGAACCATAAAATTGCTTTGATGCCATAATAAAGAAAAAAATGATAAAAATTTTATTGTAATGACTTGTATTTTACAATAAGGCTCAAACTTATTTATACAAAGGTAAAATATTACAAAATAAAAAAATACAATAAATAAAAATAATGATTAAATCAATTCTAAATCAATACCTACTATTCTCTAAAACAATATTAAATCAATATAAAATATTATTGGAATATTACTAGAATAATATCATTGACATAAATCTAAAATATTATCAGAATATTACTAAAATATCATTGACACTGTCTACTACCTATCATCCTTAATCGATACTCATGCGTCATTATTAGAAGCTTTTTATGGATATGTCCCTTCAATTCATGTCTCATGTTTCCCTAGTGATTCTTAAGTTTAGAATGTGAATACCAATTTTTAGGCTAGAAAATAGATATTGCAACTCTTGAAACACTATATACTTCTAGCATAACACAACATAAAGAGCCAAGTTGACATGAACAGATTATATAGGCAATTCTCCATTGGAGATTGGGTATATCTGAAGTTGTAGTTTTACAAACAAAACTCTTTGGTCGTCAAATAGTTGGGGTGGTAGCTTACAAGTTAAATTTTCAAGTTCATGTTTTTCATGTTTCATAGCTTAAAAAGCAATTGTGTAATCACAACAGCACTAGTTCTTAGTTGCCAGTTCTAGGGCATATGCTTGCTCTTGAGCTTTTAAATGTTTTGGATAGGAAATGGTGATAAAAAGGAATCAACCAGCTACATAGGTTCTTTTTCATTGGAAAAATTCATTCCCAAAAGATGTTACTTGACAGTTTTGTATGATTTATAGTTGAGGTTTCCTAATTTCAAGCCTTGAGGACAAGTTTCAGCTATAGGGATAGGATTGATACAAGAAGAAGTTTGTTGCCCAATTTGTTAAAAGTTAGTAAATATGGTTAGAGTGAGTTAATTAATTTTGTAATTATATTACCTGTTATTGATGTTGTATATATTGCCAATGAAACTATTTTCGTAAGCTTATTAAAGTGAAAACATTATTTTTAATTATGTAGTATGCATATGTTTTGAAAAAATGATGCTTTGGAAGTATGAAATAAGCTTTGGAATGAATTTCAAGAAAAGGACTCGAATGCTCCTAATTAGCAGTAGGCTGTCTTATGCCAAAATGAGTTCTATTTAAAAACATTAGGTAGTTGGATGCCCAACTTGATTTTACATTCCGTTAAAATGATTTTTATCTTATATTTAAAAATATAATTAAGATAGTCGAATGCCCATTTCGAGCATCGAATATCCTTTTTGAAAATTCAAAAAATATGTTCATTGGATATGGTATTTCATTTTGAGGTGATTTTTCATCCAAAATATGTCCACAGATAAAAGAGTGTTTCAAGCACTTGTTGAAGCTTATATATAGTCCCATTAACACTTATTTTACAACATTTTTACATCTTTTCAAAGAAAAAAAATCAGAATTCCTTTCATTCACTCTAAGTTCTAGTTTTGGTTCAAATGAGTTTAAGAAAAATTTGGAGTGCAATTTTGATCTTCTTTGCTCGGGCATTGTGTTCTAGGAACAACAATTCTAGAGACCATTTGCACCTTAGTAGGGAAACTATTATCCTTAAAGAAAGTTTCTTGAAAATGCTTTACCCAAGTTCTTTTTTCTTCTTCAACAAAGTTAACAGTAGTTATTACCCTCACACAAAACAATTTGAAAGATAATACAAAGAATGCATTAGTTTGCCAACATCATATATAACAATTGATACTTAAAAATCCATGTAACTAGCAATTGGCATGACAATGTGTTAAGTGCAATGTAAAGAGGGAAAAAAACAGATTGTGAAAACTAATAACATAATTCCTCTAATTTCCTTCATCTCTTATATCCCATTATAGTTCACTTTCTCTTGTTCTTGAATTTTCTCAAGAGTTGTTCTTCGTTTTTAGCTTTCTTGTGTAATTCTTCCTTTCGATTTTTCACTTTTATTGGATTCATTATTTAATTCCTTTTCTTTGCATCAAATTTCCATTTCTGGATACTACACTTATTGCTTCAAAAGATGATTATCTGAACTTATTAGTTGCTACTGAAGAAACTGAAATATCAAAAGCAAACAAGAGAATGATAACTATTCCTTCATAACAGACTTCACAGAAAGTGAATAAATCAGCATTAAGGGGGCATTTGCTTGGATTCTGAGATTTTCCTTCCTAATGTTATTATTGGATATTCAAATTTTCACGTTCGGTTTAGAAGTATTTGATTTATGAGGTAATTTTAGATTTTTAATAGTATCCAAAATTTTGAAATAAAAAGCATAATTTTTTATGATTTTTATGATTCCAAAAAAAAAAAAACTTTTGTTTCATTTTTTACCTGAATAAAAAATTACTTCTTTTTATTTTACCCTTTTAAAAATCAATATATGATAATGAAATTTAATATATTTTTTATAAATGTGGTATTAAAAATAAATAACACAACTATTACATTTATTGGAAGCTTTAACATAGTATTTGATTTTTTTTTAAATACAACATTGCTAACGAACCAAACGCAATAATTGTATTTACTTTTATTTAGAATTTTTTTAATTAAGTATATTTTTAAAAATTTTTTTACTCAAATATTACATTTGTTAATTTTAAAATGCAATAATTATGATTATTTATTATATTTTTTAAATAAAAATATAATATTTGATAATTCAAATTTTTTTTACTCAAATACTACATATATAAACTTTGAAACGTAATATTTATAATTATTTACTGCATTTCAATGAAAAACAATAATTGTTAAAGTTCACAAACCAGGCGAAAAATCAGGTTGACTTTTTTTAACAAATCGAAGGTAACTCGTCAACTAAAACTCAGGGAAGGTGCAACGATTCCAAAAGTTAAGTCACCTATTTGTCTCTCTCAGTCAAGTCCCATCCTCTCCCATTAATTACTTTCATATACAATGACTCCTATAACATAACAATAAACAAAACACGATTGCAACGTGCGGATACCAAAAGCTGCGTTTCTTTCAAAAGAAATATAGTAAATATTTTTGTAATTTTTTAAAAATATGTAAAAAGCTTAATAATTATTTTTTAAAAATAAATATAATAATTAATCATTATAATTTATTTAAAATAATAAAATATTATGTTTTAAAAATAAATGCAATATTTGTTAATTATAATTTTTTACAATAATTAATTATTATGTTTTTTTAAATTAAATACAATAATTGTTTATTGTAATTTTTTAAAAATATGTGTATAATCAATTATTATATGAAATTAATGCAATAATTGATGATTAGTTTTTTTTTAACAATTGATCACTTGAATACTGTATTTTTATAATTTGATACGCATTATTTGTCGATTATTTTTGTTTGATAAATGGTTGTGTTTATTATGTAGTGAAGAATATTATAATAAAAATATAAGATTAAGTAATCTCTTATTTTTTCTCAACTAAATGTAAGAATTTAAAAGTGAGATATCATAAAAAATCATATTTTTTTAAAGATCATATTTTTTTTAAATCTAAAATTTTATGAACTAAAAGACCTTAAAAGGAATCACTCTTCTTGTGGAAAAAGAAGGGCAATAAAAAGAAGTTAGTTTCTTGTGAGGGAAGGCAGGAAAAATGGGGAAAAGGGAAGATCTTTTTGCTGCCAATTGAAAGCTATGTATGCATATGATCTGTGCTGGAATGGTGTGCATCCTGCAGGTTTTATGAAGCCTGGTGTTGTGCCACAAAATTTTCATATCTTTCACGAGAGAAAGTACAAATTTTGCTCCAAACACCAAGAAATTTAAGTATAGACTATAGATTAATGTCAACTTTAATTTGCAAACCAACTTTTTTTTTTTGTAATTATTGGCAGTTGTAATTTATGCATACATTTCATTCTTTATTTTTCATAATAAAATTATTCATTACTCAAAAATATATACCTTTATTTTTGGAAATTCTTTTTTCAAGTGATGGTAATTTAGATTCTAGCTAGAATAACTATATCAAATATCCTTAATAAATATTGACCAAGCTTTGTGCTTTTGCTTTTTATATATGAATTTCCCATGTATTAATGTACATAATTATATTGGAAAAAGAGACAAAAAATGCAGTAACTTATTGCATCTTTCACATAATGAAATAATTTTTTTTGTTTTACTCTACTTTTAACATCTAAGTCTCGTTTGCCTAAATCATCCGCCCATATTGTGCATGTATCAATACTTAAACGTACACAGGAAGTAGCTTCTTCGACTGAAGAGGCTCTTTCCTTTTACATTCATATAGAAGTTACGAGTTTGAAAGAAAGCAATTCACATGGTGAGATTTGTCTATTGCATGTCTAATATGATGTCTTCTAAAGTTTTTTGTATGCTTTCTTATGTTTTAATCTTTTGCATATTTCTCAAATTACCATGATGGGAATTCAAGTTTTTATGCTATGAAAATGAACTAGACGGAGCATTGTTCAAGCAAACAATGAAAGACTTGAACACAGTATTACTAATAATTCATATGCATACATTTAAGTTAAAATATTTTACTACTTAGTAAATTTGACAATTGTGCATCTGTATCGTATTTGTGTCTCAAATACATGTAAAATATAAAAAAATTATCATGTCAAATTTATGTTGAAATGCTAAACATAAAACATATTTTTTTGGTTTTTACCAAACTCAAATACAATTTTTAATTACTAAAATTTTAAATTGTTTTGCTTTTATATCTTTTATTATATCATTTTCATATCATGTTTAAAATTTACTAGTGTACTACTCAAGCTAGTTAAACAAGAACTATTTATGGTTATGTTGTAATAATTGATAGTAACTTAACCACTTACATCAATTTAATTATCTAATAAATAAATAGAACAAATTAGGAAGAATCATTTGCTAAAGAAAACCAAAGCTCTATCTAAAATTTTCAAGTAAAAAAGCTTTGCCTCTGCAACATGGTTTCCTTTAGGGAAATTGATCATATACTAATATGTACAATTCAATAGGGGAAAAAAGAACAAGACTTTAGGTTTAAAGGACGGCTTGATCTGCCAATCACTTAATTTTTTTATCCATCCGTACCCTAAATTATCTATTTACAAAATATCTACACTATAGCTCGTTTGAGAAAATATTATTAATGTACATTTTGGTGGTATTAGTAGGATACTATTACTTACTACCTTCAAACTTCTTTCAAAATTTGCAAGAAGATCCCAACCTTTGCTTGGCACTCATGAACTTAAAGCCCTCGAATACTTGAGGCAAGAGCTTTTCAAAACACTCTAGGAACATTTCCCATTCATCTTCACTCATATTCTCGAAAGAAATGCCCCCACTTTCGTAGTTAGAGTTTTGCACTGAGAAACTCATGCTTTTCACCAACCCTCCTGCTGCTTTGCTGTCACCATCGCTACTGCTAATTTTGTTATCATCATCACCATTTTTTGCAACATTTTCTGTATCACAATTACTATTGTCGTTGTCAATTTCCTCGTATAGAGGAGATAACAAAGCACCATGCAATCCTGGCATCGACCTTACGGACGAAACTTTCAAAGATTTTGTCAACTTAGACAAATTCGAATGGCTCTGTAAAAGCTTGGGAAGATCTGCAACCTCATTAGAGACAAATTCAAAGTCTTCAACGTCGTCATCAACCTCGATTTTATCATAATTATCCATGTCGTCATCATCATCAGCTTCCAAAGTATTAAATACACTTGCCTTAGCTTTTGCGCAAAGGGTCTCCAGTATGCTCGAGTTTTCTTCATCACCACGAAACTCCCGACTCATCATTGCACCTATGTCGGCAAGACAAAGGCCAACACTGGCAGCTTGCTTCAAGAAAATAGTGCAAAGGATAAGAACTCGAATGGAGGATTCCCTCAATGATGGAAGTTCAGTCCGCAAAAGCTCTGCATCCTTATTTGGGTCTAGATTCGAAATATACTCAATTTCTAACTCCGAAAAAGGAATTGATGCTTGAGGCCAATACAACCACTCAAAGTATGGATCATCAAGGCACTCTGGTAGGCAAAGACCATGATCTATGGGCACAAGCTCAATTGCCCCGATAGCATAATTTTCATGTTGCTCATTTTTCTTGACAATAATATTTCCCGCATGCCGATCTAGATTCAGGATTCTCAAGTCAAGTATCCCAATTCTATGAACTGAAGCAACAGAGAAACTAGAGGGCCCTAACTCCCCAGCATCAAAGTCATGAGAGACAAAATTTTGTAGCGAGGCAATCTTATAAGGTGTGGCAGTGACAGCAGTTGCTTCATTGACATGGAATGCAACATGAGAGATTTTCACAAGACCTGTTGCAGGAACACCAGCGAACCCACCATGGTCGAGGAGATAAGCAGCCAACTCACGAATGCCAGTTTCACCTACACGTATTGAACGCTTTATTCCAGGCTGTCCCAACGTCAATCCCCCAAAACCTTTTGGGTTATTGAAGGCTAAAGGCTCCTCGTCAATTGGCTTTGCTACAGCAATAATTTCACCACTCTGATTATGAAAGAAGTAGGCACCACCAAGCCCGTTGGACACTGGCATCGGTGCTACTCCGGAGGCTATGGCTATGGCCACCTCAACTACAAGAGCAGCGACTCTTGGGGCTCTTCGGCCACCAATAATCTCAATCCTCGGATGGGTGTCAAACTCTTCCTCCACATTAGTGGCAAAGGAAAGGCAAGGGGTGGAGACGCTTCGATGGAAATTTGCAACTTCAAATACCTGTTTTATAGAGTGAGCAAGGTTTCTATGGCTAACTTCAAGAAGGTTGTACTCGAGGTGAGTGAAGGATTGGAGTCTGCATCTTTGAGATCGGTTGAACGGTTTAAATCCATGATGTTGATCAACAGCTACCGCCATTCTAAAGATGCTCGTGCAAGTAAAAACGGCAGTCAATCATACCAACGAAAGCTATTCCCAGAGGATTCCTTGAAGATTAGTCTTTCCTAAAAGACCAGCCATCATGTATCTACAAATTCAAAGCTTTTTGTTAGTATAGAAGCAAGAATTTGGATATCTCAAGTGAAATCTCAACATGGGATTGGCACGAGGACCCTAGCTTTGAACTAGCTACCATAACTAATACTACTTATTAACAAAGGTTGATGTTGGCCGAAATTTCATCAACCCTGTAGATTTAACTTGATTGAATTCAAAGCAATTTTCACTAACATTTATAATTCACCCATTGATGTTTAGTGTGCGTATGCGTGCCATGATATACATGAGACTGACATTTTAATTTTAATCTCTTTTCACCCTATAATTAAATTTCATAACCTTGTATATTTAATTTTCTCAAATTTTCTAATCAATGTTTAACTTTCTTACACTATTTACTCAATCCTGAAATGCTCTACAATTTTTTTTTACAATACTTTGTTATTATTATTTGTGCTTCTCACAAGATACCTTTTCACATATATTTTCATTTAATATATTACTTTTTATCCTTAAAAAAACCTATTTTACATTTGCATAAAACTTTTTCATAGCAATTTTTTTTTTTTGCATATTATTAAAAGGAAATACAAAGAAATAAAATAACTTTTTTTTGGATTTGAATTTGTGTACTGCATAAAAAATGCGAATATAGTACTATGGCATTTAAAATCTAAAATGTTATCTTATTAGTTTGTAATGACTAAATCATACTTTTAATCCAAAGGGTACTATAAAAAATTAATTAAAAGTTTAATAATACTTAACAAATGGTGAATAAGTTAAAATCATCAAATTTTGGGTTTTAATAATATATTATTATTTTATATATACATAGAGGAGATGAATCAACTTATACCATTGTAAAACTAAAACGTTTTACACCTTTTTTTTTTACAATTAATTTCAATAAATTCAAGAGATAAAAGAGTCAATTGAAAAAGGAAAAAATGAATTAATCTTATCCCTTGAATTAATTTAAATCAATGATTAAAAAAAACTACAAAAATTTTTGTGTAAGTTGATCCTTCTCTATACATATATAACATGACAATACTTTTTAATATGATATTAATATTTTTGTTATTAAAAAAGCCTCTACACATTTATTCTCTTTTTTTTTCTTTTTATTTTTTGGAATGTAAAAAGTTAACGAAGAAAAGATTAGGAACGATTTTTCCAATTAATTTGTGATTTGCAATAGTATAAAATGACATATTAAACGATATTTAACGGGACAAAAATATGATACATACATATTTATGTAGGTCTATGTGTAAGTACATATTTGTGATGGTACTAACCTGTTCGTATTCATGTTGAAAATTTTTGGTGTTGGATTCATTAATTTCTTTAATTTTGCATACAACCCACAGATACAAAGGTTGACATTTATCCATTTCTTGAATCCATCAAGCCTGAAATTTTCCCAATTGAACATTGATTTAAAAGCCAAGATGAAAATTAATCAAATTAAATTTTAAAAAAAAAAGGAAAGAATTGAAACATATATAAATCCACATATACAGACCAAGAAATTAGCCCCGCGCTCCTTTAATCGTAAACTGCCGCAATGTTCTGTACAAATTTAGAGAAAAATATCAGAAACAATATCTCAATAAAAATTAAGATTTATTGGATTTTACCATGCAAAGATAATAATGAAATGGAATAGAAAGAAAGAAACAAAGAAAGAAAGAGAGGAAGAGACCCTGAATACTGATTAAGGCATTCAGGGAAGAACAGCATCGGGAGCGGGAGAGAACCAAACCGTCACCGGGAAATAGAATTTCCTGAAGACCTCACCGACACTCCCCTCTTTGTTTCTTTCTTTTTCATGCGTCCTTTACGATATAATATAAACAATTCTTTAAGCCTTTGTTTTCAATTCTTGCATTCCCTTCCCTTCTTTAAAATGACTTCTCTTTTTCCCTCCTATTTTCTTGCCAACTGCCTCTGTCTTCTCTTCCCAATCCTAAGGTGACACAAGGAAATTTTATTGTGGACAAATGCTTGGGTTTCTATATTTGGGGTTAATATTAGTTGCTTTTAGGTTATTTTTAATGCTCGCCCTTTGAAAATTACAACTACCATTTTAACTTTTGACCACTGCTTAAGATCCAATCTCCAATTTCCCCCATCTTATTTTTTATGCTTTCCTTATCAGAATTTATTACTACTTCTTATTAGGAACTATTTATTTTTTTTCTTTCTATCTACTACATAAATAAGTGTGAGCTAAAAAGTTTAGAAAATAAAATGATTAAATTGATCCAAAATAAAAAATTCAGAACTTAATTAATTGCAATAAAGTGTCATAGACTTAAATAATTATTAAATTTTTGTTAGAGAACCCTTTTTTTTTTTTTTAGCATTTTACCTTGTTTTATCATTAATCTTGATCACTCTCTCTATTATATTTAATCCTTGCATTTTAACACATTTTCAAGCAATTTCAAGATTATTTCTTTCTATAAAATGCAAAGGTATTTATTTTGAGTTTGAGTTTTTTTTTTTTTTTTTTAGAATAATATTCGGTTATGCGGTCTTATTTGATTTTATAATTCATATTTACATTACTTGGTGAATATATGTATAATATATTTGTTGGTTAATTTTTTTTAATAAAATCCTATGTTATTTAATTACTCAAAGCGGTTAAAGTCAACCTCCAATAAGAGTATGTAAAGATGTTATAGAAAAGAAATGATTGGATAGATTTCTAAGTTATTGCTAAGCTTAATATCGAAAAAAAATCAAGATAAAAAAACATTGAAAGGTAAAAATAAAGCATAAAATATTATAAAGTAAGAGGATTGTTGAAATTGTATGTTGATTGTGATTTTTGAAACCATTTTACATTTACAAAACTCTTATTTTTATTTCCATGAATGAAAAATGTGGATATCCCATTTAGTCTAGGATTAATTTTGTGTTTTAGGATTAAACGTTTGTAGATTAGATTATTTTTATTGTTATTTTTCATTTTATTTTGAGAAATTTGATTAATTATAAAAAAAAAAAAAGAGTTTGGCCAAGAATGAAATTAGGAGGTTGAATTGAAAATTTAATTTATAAAGAAGTGTATTTAGGAAGAAGGACAAAAAAGAGACTTGAGTTAAAAATCCAAGATTGGGGTTGATTAAAAGATTAAAAATCAAGAAGACCTTGTCCTAATGGTAGTAGGATTAGAGAGTTATAAAAAGATTCCATTAGCAGACGTGAAATTCAATTAGAAACAATTAGAGAATGCAGTGCAGTAAAAGAAAGGTTTTTAGAAAATCAAATTTGGAAATGTTTTGAAAGATATTTGAAGTTAGGATTTGAACTAAAAAGGTGTTCAAGGGACTTAGAATGAAAATAGGATAAAAGAATCGAAATATGGTTTTTTTTTTCTTTTTGGAAAAATATGGGTTTTTCCATATTTTGGCAAAAATTTGAGTTTTTTTATCACATTTTCTGTTGATCTTGAAGTATTCAACAAGATTTGCAAAAACCGAGCGACATTCAAAGGATTCTTGGAGAGAAGTTGGAGAAAAAAAAATCTAGAGAGAGATAAGGGAAATAGAAATGTCAGAACATCTAAATCTGAGGATCTATCACTAGACATTGATTTTAGGAATCGTCACTAAACTTTTTTATTTAAGTGCGATTGACCACCTAAGAGATCTAGCCTTTCAAGGAACACCTAAACTTAAGGGTCCCTAAAAGAATATATTTGGGTCTATTAACCAGAATAGGGTTCGGGAGTACGGTTATATGTGAGAAAGGTTATAGCACCCTCACATCGCACATCGAAAGATGATACTAACTTAATTTTGTGTTATCCAATAAGCTTTAAAAATTTTACCAATTTATTAATTATTGAAAATTATTCTTAATTTACTCCAATACTTTTGACAGAAAATTAAAAAAATTCCCTCACCTCAAGAGTATGCAAGAAAACTATTATTTCACTTATAGAGGTTCCATCATTGGATTATTTAACATTTAGCTCTATCATTGGATTATTTAACATTTAAAAAAAAATTAAGAAAAGAGAGAAAAAAAGAGTAAAATAAAAAATAATTATTCAATTTTTGTTACAAATCTTTTTTTTATTTTTATTTTTAAAAAAACTCATTGCTTTTATACAAGTAAACTAGATACTTTCAACTTTTTATTAAAGCATTCAAAAATTTTTATTTAAAAAAAAATTGATACTTTCAACTTTTCCTTAAAATATTTTTCTTGATAATTTTTATTTTTAAAAAAATTGGTACTTTCAACTTTTTCTCAAAATATTTTTTTTCTGAAATTTTAATTTCAAGAAAATTTGATACTTTCAACTTTTTCTTAAAATACTTTTTGAAAAAATTTATTTTAGGAATTTTACTATAAAAAAATTGATACTTTCAACTTTTTCCAAAATGCTTTTTTTGAAAATTTTTATTTTAGAAACTTTATTTTTAAGAAAAATTGATGCTTTCAACTTTTTCTTAAAAATATTTTTTTTATAATTTTATTTTTAAGGAGAATCATTAAAAAATAAATAAAATAAAATAAAATAAAATAAAAATTAAGATAAAAATTAAGGAATAATAATAATAATAAATCAAAAAAACAAAAAAAATCTTAATGCGGCTCGACTTGAGCGGCTGGAATCGGCTTGGCTTGAGAAAGAAAAACGGCTAAAAAATGCAGCTTAGGAATGTGCAGCTCAGCTCGGCTCGGCTCCAGGGGTCAGTTGACACTCGGGTCAAATGTGGGTCGGATCATCCGATGGCAAAAAGCACGGATCTTCTGGGAATAGTAAGGTCAAAACGATGTCATTTTCTGAAGATATAAAAGGCTCTAATTTTTGTTTTTTCGTAAATTGCTTCCTTCCCTCTCTCTCTCTTTTTTCTTTTTCTCCTCATTCTTTCTAAAAGAACCCAGAT